GTTGGAACCGACTTGATGGCACTTAACAACAATATGGTACTAGAGCCATTTTTATAAAAGATGATATATGATAGAATGTAAAACTAATGTTCTCCCATGTAAACTATCACATAATTCACAATAAAAACATTAAAAAAAAAAAAAAAAGTAAATAGTATGATTCACTCAATGTACTCCACATCTAACTTCAATAATTATTAATACTGACCAACCTTTTTTTTGGAGTCCTAATGTGGCACTGTAAGTTATAAGCACTGGACTGCTAACCAAAACCCACCAGTCACCACTTGGAAATCCAATACAGGGTCACTATGAGTTGAAACCAAATCAACAATACTTTTCAAAGCAAATCACAGAAACATCATTATAAGAGAGGTATTTAAAACAGTGTTTTTCAACCTTTTTAAAACCATTTTCTACCAGCCAAAAAGATTATGACAAGGTTTACTTTCAGTAGTTAATATTATAAAAGCAATAGGTTTCAAATATTGGGTTTTATTTTCTACCCTTCCCCATTCAAACTGTAAACTACACGTACATCTCTGAAGACTCATAATTGCTGGGTTCACTTTATTTATCCTAGATGAAAGAAAAAGAAGCATATTCTATCACATTAATTAACAACAAGGAGTCCTGGTGTGGCGCTGTGGGTTAATGCACTGGACCACAAAGTTGGTTTGATCGACAAGGTCGGCAGTTCAAGCTCACCAGCCACTCCTCAAAAGCCCTGTACAGGGTTCGCTATGGGTCAGAACTGACTCAACAGCACTTAACAACAGTAACAACAAAAATGATGCAGCAGTCATTATGTAAAAAGTTGAGAGAAAATTTCATTAGGTGAATATGGACAGGTCTGGTGACACTATTAGGTAAGTGTTGGACTATTAACCACAAGGTTGATAGTTCAAAACTACCAGCTGCTCTATAAGGAAAAGGTGAGGCTTTCTACTCCTGTAGAAAGATTTACAGTCTAAGAAATCCTGAATAGGGTTGCTATGAGTAAGAACTGACTCTATGGCAATGAGTTTTCGTTTTGAATAAAACCTTACCTTTTAAATTAGGTAGAAATTCTCCCAAACTATGTGGTATTGTGGTCCTCAATCTGTACTCCTCTGGAGAAAATTTAATTAGTGGTGAAAGAGACTGTTTTCTTTCACCAAATGACTCACGTACAGATGGTGTTGGATAGCCAGTGTACGAGTCATGAGCGTCCAAAAAGTTAAACATCTCATCTGTTTGTGTATTATTGGGAGTAAGACTCAATTCTGGTTTATGTTTTTCAAGTATTTCAGGATAAGACAGGTAAGATTCTTCCTTTTTCTTGGAAAGAGTTTTTTTCAGAGCCTCATATCTACTACAAAGAGCCTGCAAATTAAAATTGGATGTTGGAGTAGTATATATTTTTCCCACATCTTCTGGATAACTGCCATCATGCACAGGACTATTTGATTCCAGTTCAAAATTGACCTCTGTATTATTGGAGCTATTAAGACTCAGGTGACCAACTTCTTCTGGAAGAGTTTCATGTAATATGCCAAAATCTGTATCTTCATAACTCTTAGAACTAATTCCACTTGATATTTGAAAAGAGTTCCATAACATGGTTTTTTGCATGGATGATTCTTTGTAAGAAGTTTGCAAGTGGTCAGGGGATGCAACATACTGCTCTTTACTGCCTCCTATCGTATGTATCCTGTGGTGTACAGCAGGGGAGAATGTCTCTAGTTGAGTTTCTGAAAGCTTGGTTTGCAAAGTTGTACATTCCAAATCTTGCTTGCAAATAATTGTATTTAACATATCTGACTGGTTCTGTGTTGGTGGGTCACCTGTGTGACTGGCTGCCACACATTTCTGAGATACACACTTGAGGCAATCAGAAGGAACTTCTACTTCAGGCAAATGAGATTGGCTACAACCTGATACAGGATTTGCTGAGAGAAAACTGGCCGTGCTAAATGCTGTTTGATTATGCAACACAGGTAAGGATTCTGACAAAGCATCTCTGTGATCAGTATTCATTTGAACTGGTTCTGTACTTCTGTCATCTTCCATTTCAACAGCTTTTCTCCATGAGCTTCTGATTTCACTTACTAAATAAATTTAAGAGGGGAAAAAAAACATGAACACAATTTATTAATTTTCATAAACATAAAGCATGTAATTATATATCTTATTCCCAACCCAATATAGTCAACCTATCTGTTGGAACAGGACGGTTCCACAATAAAACAACAATTTCAAAGAACTCTATCTCTAACTGATCAAACACAAGTAAATGCATATAATAAAAGCTGGGCCTGAAGCTTGCATACACTTACACACAGCACATACAAATTGCAGGCTTTAAAAAGATATTTTCTTGTCCATCTATGTCAAGATTTGGCATAATTTTTCTGTAAAGGACCAAAGGATAATTATTTTAGGGTCTGTAGGCCATAAACCATTCAATCTGTCCCAATTATGCAATTCTGCCATTGAAGCAAGAAATCAACTACAGACAATGTGTCAACAAATAGGCAAGGTTGAATGCCAATAAAATTTTGTTTACAAAAATCTGGAAAGTACTTTCACAAGATGATGGACTATGATGATGCACTTCACGGCCCCGCTAAAACAAAGATACAATGAAACAGACAACAGATAAAACTCCTGGAACCCTTAACTTCAGAGGAAAGGTTAGAAAAGTGGATTAAGTGCTTGCTGGGAGGACAGGGACAGTTAAGAGAGGGAGACTGAGTGGTGAATAGTCGGTCACACATGGCACAACCACCTTGAACTTTTGTGAGCAGTTTTGTCAACAGAAGGTGGCCTGGCAGAGTAAATTCACACAGGCAACTTGAAAGGAGCAATTCCTTCTTTTTCCCGATGTTCTCCTGGTATAAGAGGTGTGGACAACTCCCACCCTGATCCATCTCCATCCCAGACTCTGCTCTCTGTTGAGTCTGAAGCCATGTGGTTGTGAGCCACACCAGTGTGAGATGGGGGTTGGTTGCACCGTTTTGGTACCTGGAATCAGGTGCTCAGCTCTCGACACAGAACCTACAGAGCTAGCAGGCCAGCATTAGTCTGGCAGAAACACTCATAACTACTTATGCCCAGCTGCCCTGTGATCCTAACAGACAACGAAACCAGCTCCATCAAGAGCCTCCACAAACCACTTCCGGATTGAGTGCCCTGAATGCAGAGAACCACCTGGAGCTAGAGGAGCTCCCTGGTCCTATCCCTACCACACCCACCTCGTGGGCTCCTTGGCTGGCCCGAGTCCTCCCGAGTTCTGTCCTCTCTGGGTGCAGCAGCTGCACTGGTTTTTGTGTTTGCGGTGTTTTCCTTTTGCTGTTCCATTGCTTTTGCTTGTTTATTCTTTCTTCTTCTTTTTCCATTCCCTTGAATTTTATCCTATCTCTGCTTTTGTTTTTCCTTCTTTTCTTCTGCGTCTTATTCCCTTATCTTTTTTTTTCCCTTTTGACCTTTGTTTACTTCTTTTTTCACCTTCCCTCTCCTGTGGTTCCCCCCTCCCCCTTTTATTTTCTCTTATTTTTCTCTTCTAATAGCTCCATTTTCCTGTCCATCTTTTCTCTTCTTAGTTATTCTTTTCTTCTGATTGCTGCCTGTTGGTTTTTTGGGTTTGTTTTTTTTTTAATCCTTTAGTATTTTCTCTTTTCACTGATGGTTGCTTGTTTGTTTATTCAGTTTTGTTTTGTGCGTGTGTGCGTGTGTGTGGGGGGTGGACACGGTCTCCTCTGTCCCACCTAACAGGAGATAGCAACCATGCCCATACAGCCCATCCACAAAGCAACGTCAATACCAGCTCCTATACCACCTAATCAACAATAGCAGCCGACACCACCAAACACACCCTAAACTGAAGTACATGAAAAAGAGAGAGGTGCACATGCTTCCATTCTCTAACTACACCCACAGCAGACAGCTGGTAAGAGCTTAAGAACACATCAATATACAGTCATCAATTAAATACAAACACACCACCACCACAAAGATTTCAAAGGATCAACAGAAAGCTCAAGGAAGGCAAGGAGAACACAGAAAAAAAAATTAAGAAGAATTCAGGAAAGCGCTACAAGAAGAGACAGACAAAATAAACACAAATTTTGAAACAACCCAAAACCAGAAGATTAACACTAAGATTTAAGAAATGGACAATATATTGAAAGAGCAAAAGAATAGATTCAAAGCAATGGAAGCCCAAACTAGGGAGCTTTAAAATAAATCTATCAATACTATACTATGCTTTGATTTCTCAGTAGCAACCACGAAGGCAGGAAGGCAATGGGATGATATACACAAAACTCCAAAAGAAAAAAAACTGGAAGCCAAAAACTATGTACAGTCCTTCAAATAGGACATCAAAATTCGGGCATTTCCAGGTAACAAGAAATTAAATATGTAATAATTGGACCAACTTTACAAAAAACACTAAAGGGTGTCCTTTGGACTGAGAAAAACAGCAGACAATAACGTGAGATTAACATACATGACAACACCACCCACAACTCAATCCAGATATGTTGTTAAGTGCTGTTGAGTTGATTCCGACCCATAGTGACCCTGTATAGGGTTTCCAAGGAGCAGCTGGTGAGCTTGAACCACTGACGTTGCAGTTCAAATGACTTTGCAGTCTGGTGCATTAGCCCACAGTGCCACACCAGGACTCCAGATATAGAAGTATTCAAAGTGAAGAAACTCTAGGATAAGCACTCAACTGCAGATCATTTGAACCTCCTTGGAAACCCTATACAGGGTGCTATGAATTGGAACCCACTAGACAGCACCTAACAACAAAGTAAAACAAACCTACAAGACTGAAAATAGGAGAACAGAGATATCAATTTATAATGAAGTCAACTACAAAGGAAAAAGAGGGAATAGTGTAGATGCAGAATTTCCAAATGGTGAGGAAGTAAAGTAGAATTCAAGATAAAACAGACTATTTAAATGGGGGAAAAAGTAAATAAATTACAGGGTAACCTCAAAGAAAATTAATATACCTTCACATCAATGTAAGAGAAAATCAGAAGGAGTTAGTAGACATTAACACAAAAGAAACTGAAAACAAAAATCAACCACTACATTAAGTTATGTGGAACAAAGAAACCATAGCACCACAAAAAAACACATACAGCAAACTAACAGCAAACAATTCATACCTAGCAAGAATTACTGAATATGTAAATGGATTAAATATATCAGTCAAGAGACAGAGAGTAGTAGAATGGATAAGAAAAGAAGATCCTTTAATATGCTGCCTACAAGAGACACATCAGAAAGATTGAGACTGTCTAAATTAAATACCCATCACCAGAAGCATGGTCAAACAAACTTTGGTACATACTAAGTAATGATGAATCTGTGAAAACACCTCAACAACATGTATGACACTAGAGGATATTATGCTGAGTGAAATTGTTATTGTTGTTAACTGTACTGTGTCAGTTGGATAAAATTAGTCAATCACAAAAGGACAAATATTGCATGAGACCACTGACATAACACATTGGTATTCTTGATAAAACAAATATTCTCTGATGGTTATGGGGGAAGAGGGGAAATTATTCACATGTTAGAGGGTAGACACATATTAACATGAGTGACGGGGCAGGCAATATACAAAATCAGCTGGCAGAGGAAAGATGAAAGTCGCATAGCAGGGACACAGGAGTGCAGTGCTGAGTTAAAGTGAAGAAAGGCAAACAATGGGAACTGATGGCATATGCAGGGGATTGCGATCGTTCTTATGAAGCAAAGGATATATCTGTTGGATCCAAATAGCTGGATTTGGTCTGTGAGCCAGAGTTGGAATCTATTTAACTCTGAATGTCATCATTTCCAGCAGCAACATGGAAATGATATTTAATGAGTTAACCCAGATTGGCCTACAAGAGGAAACGATTAACAGAACTTTGTCTGCATAAAGTATAAGCAATAGAGAAAATACTGGCTGTGTGACTAGCTTGAGGGAATGGAAATGATCTATGCATCCATACTTTTGAGCCAAACCTGCTAATTTCTGATTAAAAGAATATGGTCTCTATATTCTAAAAGTGTTGATCACAGGTCAGATCTTGAGATAGAACTTTTTTTATATGATGTCTTTGCCAGGATAAAAATCAACATTATCTATATTCCATAGTATCAGGACTTATTTGCACCTCAGTATATACTGTGGCACTATAGGACAAGCACTGGATTGATAACCTCATGGATGGCAGTTCAAACCCATCAGCCACTCCTCAGAAAGCCTTAACAGGGTCGCTATGAATTGGAACCGATTCGACAGCACTTAACAACAACATACTGAGTATAAGAGTCCTCGTGGTGCTTTGGGCTGCTATCCAAGAGATTGAGAGTTCAAACCCAGCAGCCTATTTCACGGGAGAAAGACGTAGTAGTCTGCTCCTGTAAAGATTTCTATAAGTAAATCCTTGCTTCTCCTCAGCTGCCACTTTTAAGTGCTTGTTGTTCTTCTGAGGAAGCTAATGCAGCCCTGGGGTGAGTCCCTCACTTCATCCTGCAACTAGCACTGTGCCCTGAAGCTGCCAGTCCAGCATTCCCACACCTTGACCTGTCTCCAGCTCACCTGAATCTACTGGCCATCATGAGAGACAATGAAGGAGACTTTCACAGAGGATAAGATCAATGCCCTCACTAAGGCAGCCAGTGGGAATGTTGCACCTTCAGGACTGGCTTGCTCACTAAGGCCCTGGCCTTGTCTGCCATGCAGGGGCTGGTAGACCTGCCCCAGCATCTGATGCTACAAGAATAGGAGCTGCCCCTCTACCACTGCCTGCTGCCCCAGCTAAGAAGTATAAGCAAAAAAAAAAAATTATAAAAATTTTGGTCTTTTTGACGAAGTCCCTTTTGTAACATGTACAATAAAAAGCTGAACTGAAAAAAAAAAACCCACAAAACAAAATTCCGGCCTCAGAAACCCTATGGAGCAGTTCCTCCGTCCTATGGGGTCACAATGAATCAGAATCAGTTTAACGGCGGTGGGTTTGGGGTGGGTTTGGTTTATACTCAGTACACGGAAGCAATAAAATCGTCCTGCTGTTTGTGTCCATGCTGGGCACTAACTGATAAGTGAGTATGCCAACACTTAATATGTCAGTGGCAAGTCCCTTACACCAAAAGAAATGAGTCACTGGCAGAACTGAAAGAAATAGAGAAATATCTGTAAATGAGTTTTCAGATTTGTCAGGCATTGTAGTTCTAACAGTATGTCTCAGACAGGAAATAAAGAAGAGAAAGCATTATTAACTTACTCAAATTTTCTGGAGTTCGAGGAATTTGGTTCCTTGTTAAGAATGGGTTAGAAACCAGGGAATCAATCAATTCCTCCAATTTTACTTCTTTTCCTTCAGAGAGCTTTGGTGAATCAGATAAAACTGCCCTAGCAACCTAAAACAGAAAAATAAGAAAGTAATATTGATTAAGCCCATGTTTTTGTGACTGTCAAGTCAATTTCAACTCATAATGACCCTATCTATATGACAGATTAGAACTGCTTGAAAGGGATTCCTAGGCTATAATCTTTATGGGAGTAAGTCGCTAGGATTTCTCCTACAGAGCTGCTGGTGTGTTAGAACCACTGATCTTTCAGTTTAACTGCAGCTGAGCACTTAACCACTGCATCACCAGGACTTCTTCCAAGCCCATAGGTAGAATGAAAAGACCAATGAGGAGCACTTGATAGTCAGCAGACCCTTCCACAGCAATGACACCAAAAAATAAGGGCAATACTGTAGCTCTGGAATGGTCTACAGACCACCAAGGTAGGAATGGAACACAGAACCACTTCCTCCTTGCCTTGTCTGAGAAACCACTACAAAGAGAGGGAGTTCTGGAAGCACTGTAATCTCAGCTGCTACCCAGAATGACCTGAAGCAGCATCTGCCACATCTTGACCTAACAACTCTGTATCCACTAACGAAACTAGTTTGGGGCTTTTTAAAATCATCTTTTATTGTGTTTTAGGTTAAAGTGCTAAAATGACTAGTTTTAAAGAAAGCAGATTCTTAATTATAATACATTTACACAGTAACACCTCCATTAACAAAGAAAATGCATCTCTGATAATGAAGAACAAAGGCACAGGGATACATTTTAAATAGAGAAAAGTATGTTACAAAATGACAGCTGGTGGGAAAAAAGTTCAAGGGCACAGCGGCTAATCAAAAGGTCAGTGGTTGGTCAGTGGTCTGAACCCACCAGGAGCTCCTTGAAAGAAAAGATCTGGTGATCTGCTCCCATAAAGAGTTACAGCCTAAGAAATCCTATGTTCTACTCTGTTTGCTAGGAGTTGAAATCGACTTGATGGCATACAACTATGTTACCTAAATATCAATTAAAATTGGGAATACAAAAAAAAAAAAAAAACATGCAAACTGAGATGCCTAAAAAATAAACTTCAAATAGCCATGAGAGGCGTCCTCACCTCCCAATCTAACCTTTCCCAGGAACACTACCTGGAATTCAAACATTGAATATTCCTTGTTAACAACACAATTCAAGACAGCTAATTTCACTTTATGTTCAAAGCTTCATGAGACTTCAGGACTATCCTCTTCCACCTCATCCAACTCCACTGCTATCCTTCATTCTCTTAACCTGTCACAATTAGAGGAAAGGGCTTGATTGGCCATCTTTAACGGCACCACCACCATCTTAGTGTTAAGTCAGTCAACCAATAAAAAGAAACAACAGAACCTGAGATATTTAAACATTGTTAGGAACCATGAAACTTGTCTAAACTCCTCCTGTTCTGTCACAAACAAGAAAAATGACTTACATACAGACTTCTTATTTGGTGTGGCACTGCGGGAAAAAGCACTGGACCACAAGGTTGGTTGAACCACGAAGTAGGTGATTCAAACTCACCAGTGGCTCCTTGGAAACGCTATACACGATCACTATGCATCAGAAGAAACTTGACAGCACTTCACAATTTGGACAACTTAGTTCAACTGCTCAGGATTGAGATAAGGGAAGGAATTCTAATATCTAGTAAGTGCTAATCAAAAATGTTTCTTTCCATTTTCTAGGTATATAAAGTAACTCATGTATTTTAGGGTGCTTAACAAAATTCAAACAATGTGTAAGGTCTGTTGTGGGAAACACATAAGAATCACAATAAAGAATGGTTTGAGTATTTCATTTGTGTAAACTGAGTCTGTAATGCAGAGGCATGACAACAACAAAGAAAACCCATTGCCACTGAGTCTATTCTGACTTTATGATGAACCTATGTGTCAGAGAACTGCGCTCCACAGAGTTTTCAAGGCAAATCACCAGGACTTTCTTTCAAAGCACTTCTGCGTGAAGTCACACCTTCAACCTCTTGGCTAGTAGCCTAGCACTTAATTGTTTGCACTACTCAGTAACTCGTAAACTGATGAAAAATAGTATATGGTCACTGACCAGTGAAGAGTAGGATAGTGGTAAGGGACAGGGCTGGAGAGGAAAAACCAAGCTCATAAATAACAATGAATTTAATTCGTTTTTAAATGTTTAGAAAGCAAGACAAAGCCTTTATTCAGTAATAAAATGATATTGCATACTCTTTGTTCTAATAATCAAAAAAGGAAGCAGCTCAGCTAAAACAGGGAAGCTTAACTCAGAAACAGACAAAATAGACAGAGTCCTTTAATAGGGTATAACCAACCACAGGATACATTTATGCAACCCCTAATTTATGTGGTGGTTTAATTCTAAAGATAGTACTCATATACTTTTAGGTGATATTTACAGAATGGAAAGTGGAATATAGACTATGAAATCATCTTAACTAAGTTTATATTAAATCTATGTCTGCTTTTTATAAAAAAAAAACCAATATTGCTTTAACCATGCTTTTGACTATCTCTGACCTCCTTTCTCAAAAATTACCCCAGGCAATCAATAACTAACTGCACTTCATTTATAATTTTAACACCATTGATAAAATAACATGTTTAAAAGCATACTTATTACTATCTTTTTTCCTAACCTCTTCTACTAGATGATCTTGTTCTTTTTGGAATGGATCACTTCTCTTGGCGAGCAGAGAACCCCCAATTGCACTACTTTCTGCATTCTTTTTAATACTTGATGATGGAGAGTCTCCCAATTCAAATTCTGGTATTTTCTTAGAAATTGTTTCATTTTTCTCTCTAGGAGGGCTTATCTTCATGTCCTAAAGAAGACAGACATATAATATTAAAGGCATTAATTGTGAGTGATTTTATCATTAGAGGATCCTGAGCTACTGTGAACATATAAACCATGGTTAATTTTACCATGAAGTTATCTGTTCACTAGCACAATTAAGTAATTCCAATATCCCCACTTACAAGCAATATAAAATGTGTAAATGGAAATGTTACACAATGTACAAATACTGGGAAATGTGAAAACAAATTAAATTTAATTAAATAGTAATATAATTTTAAATGGTCAGAATTGATAAAAATTGTTTTAAAATATACCTTTTCAAGACATGTAACACTGTTTCTGTCTGCTAATGAAGCTGACTTCACCAGAAAGAAGGCAGGGCTACAAAGAAAACAGATAAACATATTCACATTCTAAGTAGGAAATAATTCCATTCACTTGATGCATCTGAATGTTCTAAAGAAATTGTCTGCCCCGTATCTGTCCGTTACGATTTCACTCAATTCGTCCCAGTCATCAAAAGGCAGTTTAGTTTAGGGAGGTGTAGTGACGATTAGGGCAGTACTTCAGCCCAAATTGTGTATCAGCCTCCCAAATTATGAACATTTTACTTACCTGCTATATTAAAAAATAGCCGACGGTATTTTTTAAAAAGGTTAAATTACCTGATGAACTTTCAAAAGACTTGATTATACAGTAAAATTAAATTCTATCAACTGGAATTGCATTATAACGATGCCTTTAGGTTTTAATACAGAATTTCACTGTATTAGATAGAGACTTTTAGATTCTCCTGGTATTTCATGTCCAAAGTCAGTTTCCCTCACGCTGAATTCTGTTCTAAAGCAAACGTATCACTTACAGTAAAGTCTTAACACTATTCAGAGTTTCAGTCTGCTGCATTATACACCTAGTATTCCTTCATCTTTTAAATGCTCTTCCTCCTTTAGATAAACATTAACAACCTCACATATCTCTCCACACTAATTATAAAATAAGTTACTAAATTTTTAAAAACATTGAAGGCAATGAGAACTTCAAAGTGACTATTGTGATTGTTAAAGAACTTTTCAATTCAATCATGGATTTAGTCTGCTCACTGCCCAAAAGCTTTTTAGCCCAAACTCATTGCTGTCTAGTTAATTCTCTTACAAACCACCATACAGAACAGAGCAAAACTTTATGGAGGGAGCTTGATGGCTTTGTAGGATAAGCACTGGACTGTGAACCAGTAGGGTGGCAGTTTGAGCCCGTCAGCCACTCCTCAGGAAAAAGATGAGGCCTTCTGCTCCTGCAAAGATTTACAGCCTCAGAAACAGTATTCATGGTCACTCTGAATCAGAACTGACTCAACGGCACTAACCACAATCTTTATGGAAACAGACTGTCACATCTTTCTCCTACTGAGCAGATAGGTGGTGGGTTTGAATCCCCAATCTCTGAGTTAGCAGGTGAGTGTTAAACCATTGTACCACCAGGGCTCCTTTTTCCCTCTAGATAATACGGAAGGCAGTATTACCAGAGACCACTTTCACCATCAAGCATACTGATGTTTTCCTTTCACAGACAGAAGTACAAAATTAACTGCTTTGCAAATGAATTTCTAAAGTAGTAAGTCGTTTTTAAAAGTACCCTCTTAGTCTTCACCTAACTTCCAACCATAAATGAAAATCACAGCAATAAAAGGCAGCCTGAACAAGATGTAATCCAGAAAACAAAGGCAAAGCCTAGCCATCTAGTATGATCTTTACATTCAGTTTTGCAGCTTGATAGCAGGGTCAGCAATCTATAGAAGAATGTCACTAAGCAGCAAACTCCTTAAAAACAAACGCTGTGCCTTCCCAGGAGCTCTTCCAGGTACTGGCACAGTGCCCGGAACAACTGACAGACTGACAGAATCAATGAATAACTGCTACTTAAAGACAGGGTGCTAGACACAAAAAACCCCTATCACCATCAAGTTGCTTGATTCAGTGTCCCTAGAGAGTCCTATGCCAAACAAAACCCAGTGCCACTGAGTCAACTGGGACTCACAGCAACCCTAGAGGGCAGAGTCAGAACTCCTTCTTAGGTTTTCCCAGACTGTAAATCTTTACAAGAACAGCCAGCCTCACCCCTCTTATGAGGAGCAGCAAGTGAGCTTGAACTTCACACTTTATGATTAACAGCCCAATGCTTAACTTAGCCCCACCAGGGTTCCTCATAGAGTTCTGTTGTTGTTAAAAAAGCATCAGCTGAGTTGGTTCCAACTCACAGCAACCCTATACACAGCAAAACAAAGCACTGCCCAGCCATGCGTAATTCTCACAATTGTTATGTTTGAGTGACACCAAATGCTTCTGTTAGAATCCGTGCCGAGACATATAATACAGTTGTGAAAGAAACAATGGAAGCATACTGAATACCTTCTTCTCATTTCTGACCCGGCAACATGCCATTTGCCCTGCTAACAAGACAACTTTAAGCTACCTTAGCCCCGTCTTTCACTCTCTATCCACTTGTCAAACCAAGATTAAAACCAAAAGGCCAAACCCACCGACAGATTAAATTCGAACTCAGAACAACCCTACAGAACAGAGAACTGCTCTTTCAAAACTGTATATTTGTAAGGAAACAGACTGCCACATATTTCTCCCATAGAGCTGCAGGTGGGTTTGAACTGAACCACTGACCTTTTGCTTAGCAGGTGAGCACTTTAACCATTGTGCCATCTGGGCTCCTTTATGCTAAGACTGAGATCCATGAAACCCCAGCACTGTACCATATAAAAGAAAGGGCGCTGATTGCACTGTGGGCATTTATCCCACAAAAAAGACCACTTATAAAAAAAAAAAAAAAAAAAAGCACAGTTATTTATAAAAATTAAAAAAAAAAAAAAAAACCTGGGGAAACCTAAAGATTTACAGTTACACAAAGCAATTGTTAGTTTAAAAAAAAACTGGTAATATGATATTAAGACTAGGTCTATAAGTCCTGGTGTGGCACTGTGGGTTAATGTACTGGACTACAAAGTCGGTTTGAACCGCATGGTTGCCAGTTCAAGCTTACCAGCTGCTCCTTGGAAACCCTATACAGAATCACTATGGGTCAGAACCGACTCGACGGCATTTAACAACACCAACAATATACTTCTGACGGTGACACTTCCATTTCTCCACCCATCCTGCCACTGCAGGTTAATGTACTGGATTGTAAGGTCAGTGTGAACTACAAGGTCAGTGATTCAAGCTCCTCGTAAACCCTATTCAAGGTCGCTGTGAGTCAGAACTAACTCTATACAAGTAACAATAACAGCAACTTTCCCTGAAGAATTCTGTGCTCTTCGATTTATGTCATGTCAAAACAGATATTCTAGCTTCCTTGAAGGACTCAAGGAGTGAGCCAGGGTTGTATCCTTTAATCTGCATTGCTGTGGTTGTCCCAACTCATAGCACCCTATATAGGGTTTCCATTGAGCAGCTGCTGGGTTTGAACTGCCAACCTTGTGGTTTGCAGTCCAATGCTGATCTTATAGCACCACATCAGGAGTCCTTCAATCTGCAAATAATACACGAAATTAGATTATATGAAGAAGAGCATGGCATCAGGATTGGAGAAAGACTCATTAACCTTTGATATACAGATGACTCAACCTTGCTTGTTGCAAGTGGCGAGGAATTAAAATACCTACAGATGAAGATCAAGGACTACAAAACATAAAAAACCTCAGTGTAAAGAGAATGAAAACCCTTACAATTGGACCAATAAACAAAATTGTAATAAACAGAGAAAAGACTGAAGTTGTCAAAGCCTTGATTTTGGATGGAACAGTCAATCATTCAAAATCAAAGGGGCAACATTTACCTAAGAACAATGGTGAGAGGAATGGGAAGGTGGGTGGAAGGAAAACAGGAGCCTCAGGAAGGAAGCGAAGACTGTTGTTACAGGGAAGGGACTACAATCATTGAGATGAAACAAGGTGTGTGCTTTGTTGAATGTGAAACTGATAATCTTATCTGTAAACCTTCACTCAATTCAAAATAAAAAATTTTTAAAAAGAAAGAAAAAAAGACTTCATTTTCCTTGGATCCATAATCAACATTCATAGAAGCAGCAGTCAGAAAAATCAAATGATGAATTTACATTAGGCAAATCTGCTGTAAAAGACCTCTTTTAAAGTGTTCCAGAGCAAAGATGTCACTTTCAGGACTAAGGTGCACCTGACCAAAACCATGGTATTTTCAATTACCTCACTGTCATATTAAAGTCAGATAATGAATAAAGAAGACCGTAAAAGAATCACTGCGTCTGAATTATGGTGTTAGTGAAAAATATTGAACACACCATGGACTGACTGCCAGAAGAGCAAACAAATCTGTGTTGGAAAAAGTACAGCGAAAATGTTTCTTTTAAGCAAAGATGGTGAGATTTTGTCTCTCACACTTTGGACCCATTGTTAGGAGGGACCAGACCCTGGAAAAAGACCTCATGCTTGGTGAAAGGGCCAGCGAAAAAGAGAAGAACTCCAACGAGATGGACTGATACCATGGCAGCAGCAATGGCCTCAAATGGAACTAGTGTGAGGATGGCACAGGACCAGGCAACGTTCTGTTGTGTTACACACAGGGTCACTATGAGTCAGAAGTGACTTGATGACCCCTAACAACAACAACAACCTGAGTTACAACAAATTAAATATGCTCAGATCTTTAATCTGTTAAATTTTAGGGTTGGTTAAATCAGTAGTCTTAATTTTTTTTGTGTTGTAAAACATGGTGGTGGTGGCTGTGTACCATGCAGTCTGTTCTGACTCACTGAGATCCTCTGTAGCATTTGTAGGGTTTCCAAGGCTATAAAGCTTCACAGAAGCAGAAAACCTTATCTTTCTCCTATGGAGCGACACAGATTCAAACTGCGGACAGCGGTCAGCAGCCCAGCTTTTATCCACTATGCTACCAGGGCTCCTTTTTAAAGCATGGAATTTAAAAAATTAAATGGCATGTAAAAATCTCTATACATACTACCGCTATTGTCAATATGATTCATACTCATAGTGATATTATAGGGCAAAGTAGAGATGTCCCATAAGGTTCCAAGACTATAAATCATTATAAGAGCAGCTGCTGTATCTTTCTCCTGCTGAGAGACTGGTGGGTTCGAACATGTTGACTGTTCTGTTGGTAGTCAAGCGATTTAACCACTGTGCCACCAGGGTACCTCAAATATACAATACAAATAAAAATGCAACTTGTTCAGTTTAGAGCTCATTCACAGACAGCACCAAGGGACATTGAGGAATACAATCTGAAAATTACAAAACCGGATGAGCTCCAAGCCCCCCAAATGTGTAGCTTTACTCAATGCTCACGACATGGTTTCATTTAAGTTCACAGATACAAGTAAGTAAAAATACCCAAAATTGCATTAGATATTTTTCATACATTTTTCAAGTTAAGTAATCCCCATGAAACCCAAGCTAAAGAATAGAAAATAATTTTTGTCCATGCATCAAACACGGGTAATCTTATCTGAAAAAGTTGGTCGGATATGAGGTTCAGATATGAGGGGAAAATTATTGACTATCTCATAGTAGAGAAGTTTGGAAAAAGGCTTAATGAGACAAAACTCACTTTTTAAAAAACTCACTATGAAAATCAAATGTGTTTTACCTATTGGCTAGCTTGTTTACAACTTCTTGTGGCTCACTCTCTCTTCTACCATCAATTTCTCCGTTACCTTGCTTAGGTGGATCTACAGGAGAAGATAAAGTAATTACTCTTTAATTATGCTTGTACATTTTAATATATTTAAGAATCTCTTGAAATTCAAAACAACTTCTAATCAGAATAAAACAAAACCTCACAACAATAAGAATGCTGAGGGGAAAAAGACAACTTGGTTGTTACAGGTAGTGATGGGCAGGACTGCCAAAGAGAATATCTAACTGTTGTTGTTAAGTGCCTTTGAGTTGGTTCTGATTCAAAGTGACTCTATAAAGGGTTTCCAAATCTATAAATCTTTGTGGAAACAGAAAGCCTCATCGTTCTCCTGTGGAGCAGCTAGTGGGCTCAAACTTTCAACCTTATGGTTCAAAGTCCAGTGCTTACTGTATAGAGGTACCATACTCCGCAGAAAATATTTAGTAGTAGGCATTTATAAAGATTAGTAACTAGTATTGGAGTCCTGGTGTGATGCTGCAGGATAATACGCTGGGCCAGAAAGTCAGTTTGAACCACAAGGTGGGCAGTTAAAACTCACCTGCTGCTCCTTGGAAACTCTATACAGGGTCATTATGAGTCAAAACCAACTCAATGGCACTTAACAACAAAAACTAAAGGCTACTACATGCTACAACATGGATAAAACACAAAGCACATTAAGTGAAAGAAGTCAAATACAAAAGGCAACATATTGTCTAATTCTATTTACATAAGCAATCCAGAAGGCAAATCCATAGAGTCAGAAAACAGGTAAGTGGTTGGCAAGTACAGGCTGTAGAAACAGGGATTCAATTCTTAATGAGTATACGGGTTTACTTTGAAGTGATGGAATTATTCTGAAACTAGACGGAAATGGTGATTGGTTGCACAGACAATAAATTTACTAAACGTCTCTGAGTTGTACACTTGAAATAAATTTTGTATTATATGCATTTTACCACAACAAAAGAAGTCAAGGGAAAATCAAAAGCAAATGTAAAGGAATTATTATCACAATAACAAATACTGATAGAAGGAAGGTTTAAAAGAGAAAAAGATAAATAACCAACCTGGAAGGGAAGCAGGATACTTCAAAAGAATACTCCTTGCATATACTTCTTCTGAGGCAGGATCAAATGAAAGGGGAGACATGGGTGGTAAAAGATCCACAGCCTTAAAACACAGAATTCACAATTTGAAGTATACACATTTTACTTTCTGCCATAGTAACACCGCTACATATACCTAGAAGTCTATTTATTTTCCCCCTGAAAATAAAATTATCCAACATATAGCCTATCCTATAACCATTTTTTAAACAAAGGAGTACAATATTAGGATCCAGGGGATTGCTTCATCCTCTAACCAACTCACATCAAGAGGAAAGCTTCATTTTCTTGTTAAGGCATCTCTCTAAATCTTAAAGTATTATCTGCAAGTCTATGGCTGTTTAATGAGTATTCTACCATGTAAAAAAAATTATAGAAACCAAAACATGTGAATTTTACACTCAAATGCAAAGATGACACACATGCAACACAGCATTTCCAGGTCACCTATGATATGATAAATCAAGAGACTTACATTAAACTACTTTCAAAAAATAAACTCACTCTTACTTACTGGAGTACAACCTTTAATTAGACTGAAAGGAGGCAAACCAAGAAATTCTTTCCACTTCTTATACCATTCTCCCTGCTTCTCAAGAATAGAATGTCTTATGGTTGTAAGATCTTCTTTTATTTTATACCTATGATGGCATTAAAAAAAACTTTATCCACATTATGAATACACAAAACGGTATTGGGTAAAATTTAGGAAAGTAATAACATTTGCAGTGAAGCCATAATAAATCTATTACCCCCTTTGTCTTTATAAGATCATTTCTATTCCTGGTTCTAAACTCAGTCAGAACTCTACTCCTTCTCTGTCCATTCATGATGGCATCCCCATCCCCCTCCAGCTTTCTGCTCAGAAAAAAGCTTCAGAAGCCCAGTCCTACTATTAGACCCCAGGAAAGCAAAGTTACAGAAGAAGTAAAAGTATATCAAAAAGATGTTATTGTTGTTGCTGTCAAGTACCGCTGAGTCAGTTCTGACTTATTGCAACCTTATACAGGGTTTCCAAGGCTATAAATCTTGCAGGAACAGAAAGCCTCATCTTTCTCCCAGAGTAGTCTGTGGGCTCGAATTGTCGAGCTTGTGGTACCCAGTCCAGTGTTTATACTACAGACCACTGCACTCCATATCATAAAGATATTACTCAGCAATAAATTATTCCAGCTAAAAAGAAAACTACATTAATTTTCCTTTCTACTTCATGTTTCTCTCCTAGGAGTTCATGAGACTAGGTTTTTCAGTACTAGCACAATTTTCACACTTGTTTGCAAAAGCCAAAGAGCTGTAACTATATATAAGTTTTGCTGAGAAATTATCAAAACCACCGTAATCCTCCCACAATATACAATAACAGTAGATCTTTCTAGTACCTCATATGCTTCAGCTCTGACAATCTTTCTCTCTGAAACCTGGTCTCTTTTTCAAGGTAGTGAAGGTCTATTGTCAGTCTTGTTTGGTCAGCCTGACTATGTTCATATCTCATTATTTTCAAGACTTCATTCAATAATTGAATAACTGTTAAGAGGTTCAATTTTCCAGCCTCATAAACATTTCCTATGTGCAACTATGGATTCAGAGAAGAAAAAAAGAGTGGTGAAAATAACAAACTGCTAATGTTCATGGGTTTTATTATGATATAAAAAGTTTATCTTAAAGAACAAAAAAAAAATCAAAATCATTCCTCCATCAAAATATAAAACTAGCGTAAACAATTTTGTTACAATGTAAACAACTTCTGTGAAAGAATATGACATGCTCCACATTTTTAATATACACAGAAAGCAGAATAAAAGGTGGTAGAGAAGAACAGGTTTGGGGAAAGATCACAAACTTTTTTAAAGTTGTATGTAAATCAATGGTCTCTCAAGGCTGCATCCAAACTTAAACCAAACTAAACTCTAGCCACTGAGTTGATTCCAACTCTTAGCAATCCTATAAAGGGTTCCAAGGCTGTAAAGCTTTATGGGAGCAGACAGTCTCACCCTTCTCCCAAGAAGCAGCTGGTGGTTTTGAAACACCAACTTCGTAGCCCAATGGACATGTTTATTATTATTAGCCAGCACAGTTTGTGTTTTTAAAATACTTGAATCCATTGTCAACATTTAAAAATCACAGACTTAAAAAAAAAAAATCATAGACTTCACATAGAAATTATTTTCTAGTTCTCCAAGACTTCATCACTGTTTGACTAGAATGAGCATGCTCATTTATATATTCCTTCCCCAGCTCCTGAAAAAAATGAATTTGCAGATCTGATTTTTACAAACTCTGAATTTGATGTGCTTGTCATGTTACCTATTAAACTGAAAGCTCCTCAGAGTTAAAAACATTTGTTTTTAAATTCCCTATATCAGTACTTGGCATATTATTGCAAAGTGCCATCAAGTCAGTTCCAATATCTTATAGTAACCCTGTTTAGGATTTCTGAGGGGCTGGTGGATTTGAACCACTGACTTTGTAGTTAGCAGTCCTGTGTTTATCCTACAGCGCCTCATCAGGACCCCAAACCTGGCATATGCTGTTGTTGTTGAGTACTTTAAGTTAGCTCCCACTCATAGCAACCCTGTATAGTGAGTGTTTCTAAGGCTATAAATCTTTGTGGGAGCAGAAAGTCTCATCTTTCTCCCTCAAGCATCTGGTGGGTTCAAACCACTGACCATGTGGTTCGAAGTCCAGTGTTTAGCCTACAGAGCCACCTCACTCCCTTGACTGGCACACAGTAGATAATTAATAAATTCTGTGTTTACTAAGAAAAATAACTATGGGCTATCTAGATGGGAATGCCCATAAACAAGTGGAAATAAACAGATAGGGCTTAAGTTAAAGGTTAGAGACTAGAGGTACTAATTTGGGACTATCAATATGAAGGAGGGAGGTGAATTTGTAATGGAGGTAAGAAACCCACTGCCATCAAGTCCATTCAGATTCATAGCAACCCTACACAGAGAGAAACTGCCCCCACACAGGATTTCCTGTACAGAAGCAGGCTGTCACAACCACCTTCCCACAGAGTGGCAGGTGGGTTCAAAATGCCAAAATTTCGGTTAGTAGCCAAGCATTTTTAACTACTGCACCACCAGGAAATAAAAGGGGGCATTAAAGAAATTAAGAGCACGTTCATTTAAAAGGCAGAAATAGGAACCAGTGGGAAAATGAAACCAGAACCACAGAAGATTAAACATTGAAGTCACAAAAGCTAGAGCAAGAAAAGATTTTTACAGGAACATTTTACATCAAGCAAAGAGAGAAACCAAGAGGATGAAATGTTTGAAAAGAACTTTTGACAATTAAATAATTATTCAAACTGAAAATTTATTTTATGAATTCCTCAGTGAAAATTTATCAAGAATTACAATACTATCATCTTCCCAGTCCCCATACTGTATGATGTAGCACCAAGCAAGGCACAGACAATTAGAAATGGATGAATATCCTCTTTATGAAAGTGAGACATGATCTACACTCAATTAAATTTGAAAGGCAGTAAAAAAAACAATGTAAGAAAAACAACATAGATAATATGTGAGGGGGCTTCAAAAAGTTCATGGAAAAAATCCTGTTGTTGCTGTTGTTGTTGTAGTGAGCCGTGGAATCGGTTCCGACTCATAGCGACTTTGTACAGGGTTTCCGCGGCTGTAAATCTTTACAGGAACAGAAAGCCTCATCTTTCTCCTGTAGAACTGCTGGTAGTTTCAAACTGCTGACCTTGAGATTTGCAGCCCAATTCGTAACCACTAAGTACCAGAGCTCCTTGGAAAAAATCCTACTATCCTTTAATTCCATGAACTTTTCGAATGCCCCTTGCATAAAATAATAATGGCACATCAGTTTTCACAGAAGCTTTTTTTTTTTTTTTTCAAACTGTGATAAAAATATACACACCAAAATATTTGTCATCACAACTACCCAAAAGTTTTCTAGCAAGTGCTTACCTGACACATTTGTTCTTCAATTTTGTCAAGTAAAAGCCTTGGGATATTAATAGCAACATTAGATCCATCTAAAGAGTACTGGTTAACAAGGCTAAGGACTGAACTAACAACTTCTCTCTCTTTTTCCAAAACCACGAGTGTTTCATTCACCACAGCCCACAATGATCGAACCTGTGAAAACAGAGACAACCAGAAATTAAACACAGTCTGAACATACACAAAAGAAATGTAAAACGCAAATGTATGCCAATTCCTAGATACAAATATGGTATTACCGGAATCATTTCTGATGAAAAAATTAAACTGTATGTAAATAATCTAAAAGCACTATTATTACTTCAAAAAGGGCTTAAAACCAAAGAATTATTTGCATGAATCTAGCTCAGTATGATTTTCAAAGGAAATCTAAGCAACCTTGTAACACCAAGATACAATGCCCATTTCCTGTATTCTAATATGCCATTAATCTAATGAAAGTTTTAAAAAAGAAATGAAAGATTTCAGGGGGACAGAAACATTACACATCAATTTTATGAGTCATTCTAGTTTCAAAAGTGTTAAAGAAAAAGAAGCCTGCTTCTTAAAATGCAAAACTCAGGTACAGGAATATTCTTAGGACTATTTTGGAGTCTTAGTGTGGTGCTGTAGGATAAACACTGGATTGCTAACCAGAAGGTTGGTGGTTCAAACCCACCAGCCACTCCTTGGAATCCCTATACAGTATCGCCATGAGTTGGAACCGACTGATGGCACTTAACGACAGCACAACATTCTTAAGGGAAAAACTGGAAGCAACCCAAAGATTCATCTAGAGTGAAATGGATACACTGTGCTATATTCACACACACTAGAACATTTTACGGCAATGAGAATAGCATATTATGACTACACACAATAGCACAAGTGATACTACAAACATAATGTTGTGTGAAAGAAATAAACACAAAAGAGTATATACTTATACTGTATTCTGTATGTTTCTATTTTAAAATTAGGTTAAATAGACTTATCTTTGCTGGCATTAGTCAGGGCAGTGTCTACCCTTGGGGGTAAGGGATACAGGGTATGAGTGAAAAGGGGTTTGAGGGGATGTCTAGGACGCTGGCAATGTTCTGTTACTTAAACCAGATTTTTATGGACAAGTGTACTTTATGAAAATTCCTCAAGCCACACACTTCTGATTTGTGCACTTTTTTGGTTTGTATACTATGCTTCAGTAGAATTTTCAGAAGTAGGAAAGAAGTAAACAAGTATGATCATCATCCTCAAGTCAGTGTCTGTGTCTTCTCCTGGTATGCAAGCGATCTTAAACATCCCTAAGTGCAGTGTTGCAATGCAAAATTGTCCTCACAAGAAAGCTTACTGGGTCTCAAAGAATGGTAGTTCCTAGATGAATTTAGGGCCCAGATTCTGGTTCTCAAGATTATCAAGAGGAACAATGACAGTGAGACTCAGGGAAACTGAGTGCTAATCAACTCAGCAGAGACTAAAATAAACTTAGTAGGTTTCATACCAACCTATGAAATTTACAATCAGATATACTGCTTGCATAGAAGCTCCATGAAAGGAATGACTTCATCTGTTGTCTTCAGTGCTCTAGATGTAATATCTAGATTAATGGTTGGCATATGGCAGGTGATCAATAAACAGTTACTGAATGAATGAAGAAATATTTCCTAAGTAGGAAAACAACTTTTTCCAGTGACAAAATATCTAAGACAAAATAAACCCTAAACAGCCTGGTGATCAGACAATTAGAACAAAGAACTTGAGAAATATTTTGTCCAAGCCACACGAAGGCCTATAAAACACTTCTATCCCTCACCAAAGCCAACCTCTGTGTCTTCAGATCATTTATGCCTCTTCCCTTGTTGTGGTGGTTGTTAAATGCTAGTCAGTCAGTTCCAAGTCATAGTGACATTGTATAAGGTTTCCAAAGAGCAGCAGGTAGGTCTGAACCAACTACCTTGTGGTTAGCCGTCTAAGCACCACACCAGGAGTTGCCACTTCCCTATCTAGCCTCAATGTGACTCCTCATTTTCCCTCCATGCTTACTATCTCCCTTCAGTTAATATATTTTATTTAGATAAATGGACAATGGTTAATTTTCAAGCATGCCAATCTTTCCTTGCTGGTATAAAAGATTTTAAATCAACCCTATTTAAAAATACTTTTGAATATTTAAATCTTGCTAGGTTTTTTTTTTCAGTATATTCAAGAATCCTAGAGGCACTCTGCTGATACCTTTATACTATCTAACCTGCACTACGTAGTTAAAAATAGTAATAATAACAACAGTGTGAAAAAAGAGAGAGAAGCTACAGGAATCCAACAGATAAACACTATGTATCATAAATATTAAGAGATTAAATTTCTCCCTAAAAAACTGTCTCATGGCATGGATGGAATGGGGAAAAGGGAGAATAATGTTAAGATGCTTGGCTGTCTTTTGAATCTTGGTTTTCCTTGTATTATATTATAAAATAGACACTGGTGGGGGAGAGAAAGGAATAGCCAGAAACATCACCATAGAAAGCTTTTAAGTCTGCCTTCTGCCTATAACTGATTGGAATACCTACAATGGGCTACAATGTGCCCAGTGAAGGAGGTTTCCTGCAGAGCCTCTGCGTTACATAAGACTATAAGTGGAAGCCTGAAACACATCCAGATCTTCAGAGATGGGAAATTTCCACTTGAAAGGACGAGCAGACCAGCCTGCAGCGGCTAGAAGGACAGAAGACACTTCTTGAAAGAAAGACCTACAGGAAAAATACAAAACAATAGAGGCAGACTGACTATTACTACAAGAACAAACAAGTTGCTTGCCCAGGAGACATCAAGGCAAGTGGTCAGGTCCCTTCAGTGCAAACCCCCTTCCAAGACTAAGACTTAACAGGAATACAAACTCTGATTGGTGACCACACTCGTCACCGATAATGGGAAGTGAGGGAAAAACAGCAATGAAGCGGGGAGCTAAGCCCTACAATGTTCAATAGACTGCTGTGAACCTGGGTGGAGACATAGTTGGCCAGCAGTGTGACAAGACCTGGGGACTCTTGGACCCAGAGTCAGTGACATAGCCACAGAGGACTAGAGAGGAGAGTGAAGCATCCAGCTGATAACGAGAGGGCATATGCACAAGAACACCCATACGTGCACATAATACCCACTTGACCTGGCTTCAACAACTGGATGATCAGAGCTCAACCAGAAGAAGATAGATGAGGGGGAAAAAAAAAAAGAGTAATCTGATACAATTTGATGAACTTGATCTACACTTACAGATGCAGTAGCTCAAAAGAGGAAACAAATCCTTACAGCAAGGATCATTCCCACCCCCTCCACACACAGAGTAGACAGGGATGGGCAACTTAGACATTGATTACCCAAAAAGTGGTAACCATGATAGTTTACCATGTAAACTATCACATAATTAACAATAAAAATTTTTTTTTTAAATTGTCTCACAGGTCTGGTGAAAAGAGATGGGGATAAGATTCTTATGATTCAATAGCGATAAACTGTCTACAAAAGCAAGAAGTGACTGGCTTACAAGCTTTCATGAGGGAACCTAGATCCAGAGGGCGTGGAGGAAGGTAGAATCTCCACTGAGTAGTATCCAATCTGTCTAGGCAGGGCTGATGATGAAATGCAGATCGGTCTCTTGTGATACAACAGTGAATAATTGTTATCAGGACTGCTTATGAGGGTTGGAAATGTAAAGGTAGATGTTTTGTAGCAAAGGAGGGGAGTGACTAACTTTTCAGTCTAGAAGCAGTGATGCCTGAGATGGAAGCAGAGATGATGACATGGAGAGATGGAGCAGCTAGGGACTTTAGATACAGAGAGGGAGAGGGGCTGTTTGTTGACAACCGAGGTGCAGGCTTGTAGTGTATACCCTTTGGTTGGTTGATGATGCATGGAGGGGACTATAACCATGGCAATGAAACGATATACAATAGAATGAATATAAAACTAATGTTCTCCCATGTAAACTATCACATAATTAACAATAAAATTTTTTTTTTTAATTGTCTCACAGGTCTGGTGAAAAGAGATGGGGATAAGATTCTTATGATTCAATAGCGATAAACTGTTATCATGACCAGCTGCGACTGTCACAACTGTAAAGGTAGACGTTATCTAACAAAAACAGGGGAGTAGTTAATCTTACAGTCCAGAAACAGAGGACCCTTAGGCCATCAAGAGAGAGCACAAGCAGATTGTGGGACCCTATCCAGAGAAGCAGCGCACACCAGAGATGGAGGCAGAGATGAGGACACAGAGAGAGGGAACAGCTGAGGACTCTGGCTGGACTCATAGAAAGAGAGGGACTGGGTGCTGGAGGCCAGGAAGCAGGCTTGCAGAATGTGACCTTTGGCTGTTTAAATTATACACTCCTGAGTGTTTCTGTGTACATCTCCCCCCTCCACACACACACACACAAAAAAAAAAAAACAACCCACAAAAACAGGGAGTGGGAAGCAAATACTGCTTAATGATGGTACATAGAGGAAACTGTAATCATTGCAATGAAACGATGGTGTGAAGCCAATGTTCTCCCATGTAATCTATCACTCAGTTCACAATAAAAACTTTAAAAAAAGTTATCTCACCCTTTCAACTTTGTCTTGTAGATTACTTTGGTCATCATAGGGTTCCATTCTAGTTAAAAATGAAATAACCTAGTTAGTCAGAAGAACACATGGTAACTTAACATCCAGAGAATTAATTGATCTGCAAACCCACCCATTATCAATCATCACAATTCCAAACAGAAACAAAAGTCTAGCTCAAAGCAGTAATAACACATTGGAAAGAGAATTAACTAGGAGTCCAAATTATGTTCTAGTCCTATCATTATCTAGCTATTGAATGTTATTTTCATTCCCATTTCCAGGACTCTCCATTCCCTCACCTGTAAAATAATAGGAGCTTAACATATTAAGGAAGACCATAGTATTGATGGATTTGAGTTATGGTGTTAAGGGAGAATATTATAAGTATCATGGACTGTCAAAAGAACAAACAAATCTGTGTTCGAAGAACTATACCCATAATGCTACTTAGAAGCCAGGATGGCCAGATTTTGTCTCTCATACTTCAGACATATTATCAGGGATCAGTTACTGGAAAAGGACATCATACTTTGTTAAATGGAGGGTGGGAAAAAAGGAAGAAGAGCCCTAATGAGATGGATTAGCACAGTGGCAGCAGCAATGGGCTTAAGCATAGCAATGATTGTGAGGTTGGCATAGGACCAAGCAGTGTTTTGATCTGTTGTGCATATGGTCTCTATGGATCAGTACCAACTTGATGGCACCTAACAACAACAAAACTATTATCTAAAGTGACCTTCCACTCTAAAAGTTACTTACTTTTTCATGTGGTTTTGCAGTGCTATACATTCTGCTCGTAATTCTCGTACTTGCTTAACTGACAATCTGCAAAAATAAAACAAAATGTCAACCATAATTCCACTACAATGACCTAATATAGCTCTCTTTGACATTTTGGCCTTTTCATAACTTTATTCAAGGCTTCTAGGGACTACTCTTCCAAATACACCCAGCAGCACTGCTCTCAGTCACAGGTGCAGCCTGACAGACAGGCTGTTGCAGAGAGAGACCAAGACTTCTCAGCGATTCTCACCTCTGAGTGAAGATGTGAGTCATCAGTAAGAGTGTTGGCTCCCTATCTTTCTCTCACATCTAACTGTAGCTAAAGGACTAGGCCTATCACAGCTTAAGGGCCATTTCAAAAGATTTTACACTTTAATAAAAGTAATACCATAGTTTTTCAATTATCCTGTTTTTGACAGCTGTAAAAAAATTGGACAGAAGCTACTACTAGAGAGTAAAGTTTGCCTGTCTTGTTAATGCTATAATAACACTGATGCCTAAATAAGATTTGGCACAAGCTCACTCAAAACAAAATGATGTTTTTTTAATAGATGAAATTAATATAAAATATGATGAAATAGCTAACTCAATTATAGAACACTTACCTGACAGAAAATCTACTTAATGGAGTATCAACTCAACAGACTGGTACACAGACATAAAAATTAATGTTATGGCAAACTGGAAAATTCACACAATAAATTTTTTTTAAAGGATGTAAAATAAATTCCAATTATAGCTTTAAAAATGCATTTCCATGTGAAAAGGAAAAGGCTTATGTAAATCAAATTTTGAACTAAGATGTTTCCCTTTTCTCTAAAGTTTCACTGTGTTTTATTCAGAAGCTCTAGCTTTAGACCTAAAAGCTAACAGCCAGTTAGTTGCTGTGAAGTTGATTATGACACAGGGCGACCCTAGGTGTACACAAATCATCTGCTCCATTTGGTTTTCAAAGCTGTGGTCTCACAAAAACACAACACCAGTCCTGTCTTCCAAGGCACCTCTGGGTGGATTCAAACCATCATCTTCATGCTACTAGTCGAGCACTTAACTAATGTACAGCAGGCATGGATTATTTCCATTCAAGTTATTGATGAACTTATTCAAAATGAAAGGAATTTTCACTCTCACTATCAAAGTATTACTTACTGTGCATTTTCCTGATATTTTCGGATCACACAATCTTGTCTTTGCAAAATTTGAAAAAATCTATTACGTGCTACATGGCATCTAGCAATGCACTTGTGCAAATCGTATGGCTTCACATTAAATGTATCTGTAAAATGTCTAGGAGAATCTGCACGGAACGTAAGTAACAGAAAACTTAAATTTACAAACTATTAAATATCAAAAACGTTATTTTTATGAATTTTAAGACATTAACTGCAAATAACCAAAAACTTCTTACATGCCAGTATGCCATTCATACAAACACAAAACAATTTAACTCATGTTAAAAAAGCAAAAGATTTAATTTAAGAAGACAACTACAAAAGGATATTTAAGTTGGTTAACAAAGTTTTACTCTTCTTAGAGTCCATTTGCCTGGAATACTCAGTTCATTCATAATTTCACATCTCAATTACATTGTTTTATATAAAAGCAATCATTCTTTTTAACAGTTATCTTTTAACAATTCTTTACAAGATGTGAATTAAGAGATGAAGTGAGAGCACATCATCTCCACTGCTGCCATCAGCTTGACTTTCCCCCTAGTATGACCACCAGGACAAGGAACCAAATAAAAACATTCTCAATTGCTCAAAAAATTCTTGGCAACATCACTGAAGATCAACGAATCCCGTGAAAACTATCCTTTGAAACATTTAAGAGCTCAAGTTTTTTCCTAGTTTAACATGGCTCAATAAAGAGGGGTGCTGGATTTCTAGAAACTGGGACACTGACAATGCATTTAACATCACTCATTCAAGTCCCAGAATTACCCCAAAGAAAGTACCACAACTTGTAAATACTTAGAAAAGAATGAGTTAACTGAATTTCAGAGTCATTTAAAGACTCAATATGTTGACTGAAATTACTTAAAAGTCAGAATAGGACAACCCATGCTTAGAAACCTCATAGTTTCTAGTATGTCATGTACAATAAACCCTTATTAAATCAAAATGCACAAAACTTATATAAAAATAGTATATAATTTATATAAAATTGTGTTGGTGTGGCACTGTAGGTTAATGCACTGGACTGCAAAGTTGTTTTTAATCGTAAGCTCAGTAGTTCAAGCTCACCAGTCACTCCTTGGAAACCCTATACAGGGTCGCTATGGGTCATAACCAACTTGATGGCACTTAACAACAACAACAGTTTGGCTTACATCTGATATGGGCAGAACTTCTATAATAGAAAAGCTGGTAAATATTTATGTTATATGAACTAAAATTACACAAATGATTACCAAGCAGAATCATATGCATATTTAAAAGGAATCATTAAGAGCTGACACACTGGAAAAAAGGTTGACTTGTCAATTACAGACAGAAGGGATAAGTAAGAGTTGGGACAAATGATGAAAGAAATGGACCAATAACTTAAGTAAGGATAAAATACATGAATACAGTACAGAAAAGGTCCAAACTGCTTTTACACTTAATAATTTTCACACCCACAAGTAATAAGAAATACAAATTAAACCTACACTGAGATTCTATTTTAACCCATCAGACTAAAATGGCAAATATGTCTGATTATACAATACGTTGGTGATCCACTAGGAAAACAGACAGTCTCAAGATACTGATGATGGAAGTATAAATTGTTCAAATTCTAGGGAAATTCACCTGGTAATATTCTAAGTGCACAATTACTTTAGTTAAGCAATTCATCTTTCAGCAATTATTCCTAAACATATACTTGAACATAACATACACAAATTGATGTTGTTGTTGTTGTTGTTGTTGTTAAGTGCCATCGAGTCGGTTCCGACCCATAGCGACCCTGTACAGGGTTTCCGAGGGTGTAAATCTTTACGGGAGTAGAAAGCCTCATCTTTCTCCCGCGGAGCGGATATGTATGAAATTTTTCACCATAGGTTATTTTGTTGTTGTTGTTGTTTTCATTTTACTTTTTTTTAAATGTTTTATTGTGAATTATGTGATAGTTTACATGGGAGAACATTAGTTTTCATTTTACTTTTTTAAGTAGCTTGTTTTTATACCAAAAAGGGGGGGGGGCGAGAGTGGGGGGCCAAATGAAAAACAGTAGAAAGCTGATTTAATAACAGACTGTCCATTCAATGTACTATAATGTACTTAAAAAGAATGAGAAACAGAAAACTATGATGATCTAAAAGATATGTTTAAGGGGAAAAAGCAAGATTCAAAATTGTATGAGTAACTCTTGAGGAGACTCAAGACTCACATTACCAATTTTCCCACTTACTAAAAGGACTGTAATAACACTCCAGCATTTCAGATGTCATGGTCACAATTACAGCACTAAAATTATTGTTTGTTGTCCTACTTGGTTGAGTAGTACAATTATGCTTTGCTTCTCCAAATAAACAAGTATGTAAAATGTTACCATTTGTGCTTTAAAAAAAGAAAAGGAAAGAGCCTTTGTGAGTGTGTTTTAAAGTGGTTTGATCCATTTGCTAACTCACAGGGAAAACAATGACTATTTCATTGAGGTGTAGCTTCAAAAGGTTCAAGGAAAAATGGAAATGAAATACAACAGAATTTTTCCAGGAAAACTTTGAAGCCCCCCTCATACACAGTTCCTTATATTATTGATTATATTGGTTGCCTACAGGAAGGTAAAATAGGTAGTTAGAAAACAGAGGTAGGCAGGGAGACTTTAACTTTTTGATTTTTGAGCCATGAGAATGTATTATTATCCAAAACAAATAAAATGGATAGATATAACATATGCAATTTAAAAACACTAAAAGGAAATAAACCAAAACGTCAGCAGCAACAATTATCACTGGAAGCTGGGAGACAAGACGGTATACTGCTTCAACTTGTTTTATGAACATAAACCAATTTAGTATCATAGTTTTAGACTATAAATACCATACTTTAAAGTATCAAACTGATTATTTTTCTTCTGTGAATCAGCAAATACTTCAAAACACATACACACAAACTATATATTGCCAGTAACAAGAATATTTTTTATTTAATACATAAATAACTTTTATTAAATTTATTTTTATTTAAAATAAATAAATAAATTTCAAATACATTCAACAGTGCATTTAGCACAATGTATAGAGCAGGAGTCAGCAAACTGTGACGTGCTGCTCAAATTTGGTCCATTTCCTGTTTCTGTGAGACCTATAAGCTAGGAACAGTTTTCACTTTTTAAAGGATTATTTTAAAAACTAAAACAAATATTCAAGAGACCATATGGTACCCACGAAACCACAAATACTTGCTATCTGGTCTTTCATAGAAAGTTTGCTGATCCCTGAATTAGAGCACAATAAAATAACCTGCATACTTACTTCTGTTCATTATCACAAGATTTCAAACAACAGTTCAAATAGATTAGTATCTACATTAACTTACCTTGCTTTATTAAAATCCTTGATAATTTACAAATTGTAAAGAACAATAAAAATTTAAGAATTAAGAAATGAATTCCTACTATAAACTTACTTTTAGAATGGGTTTTAATATATTGTATTACAACATATCTTGCAAAATGATACATCAGATGAACAAACTTCGGACCTCCAGGGGAAATAAATAATGAACCAACAACTTGAGGGAAGTTACCTCCACATTCAGCCTATAGAAAAAGGAAATGATTTGAAAAGTTTCTTAATAAGCACCTTATGTTTATCATATTATTTTGAGTAATAAGGACCCTTGGTGGCCCTTGACTATTAACCAGCAGTTTGGTGGATTAAATCCACCCAGCAGTTGTGAGGGAGCAACCTGGCAATCCACTTGCAGATAGATTGTTTTTGTTTTGCCGTGGAGTCGGTTCCAACTCATAGCGACCCTGTATAGGGTTTCTGAGGCTGTAAATCTATACGGGAGCAGAAAGCCTCATCTTTCTCCCGTGGAACAGCTGGTAGTTTCGAACTGCTAACCTTGCGGTTCACAGTCCAATTCGTAACCACTACACTACCAAAGCTCCTTAATTACAGCCAAAAAACCTTATGGGGCAGTTCTACACAGTCACATGAGGTCACTATGAGCTAGTACCCAACATTTTTAAAGCAATTAAACAAATATACAGAACACATTTTACCATAATAAAAAATGTGTACCAAATTGAATCCAATTTTTAAGTAATTTTTAAGTGACATACTGGAGTAAAGGTTGACTACAGCAAAAGCTGAAGGTGCATGGTCCTGTCCCCTTAGCACACCGACGGCTTCCAATTCTAAGTATCTGTAACTCTGCCTAAAGGTATTCGCTGGCCACTGGAACCCAATGGAGCCCCCCACCACCTTCATACTCACAACAGACATAAAATGGGATGGAGTTACAGCCTCCAACAAAGGATTAACAGGTGAATGTTTTGTTTATTTGCTTTGAGCCCGTCAGCTGCTCTTTTAGAGAAAAAGGAGGCTTTCTGCTCCTGCATAGATTGACAGCCTCAGAAATCCTATCCAGGGTCACTATGGGTCAGAACCGACTTGACAAAACACAGCAGCAGCAGGCTTTGACACTAGGTTCTTGTGTCTCTCCTTTCTGCCATTTTCAGTTCATCTCTCTGGTCTGCAGGCTGTGTTCCCTCATGGTGTGCCACAGGGTTAACGAAGGCTGTGTTGTCTAAGTGTTGTTATGTCGGTTCCGACTCATATCAACCCTGTAGAGCTTTTCAAATGAGCAGCTGATGGGTTTGAACCAGTCTTATTCTACAATGAACTAGTGCTTATTCTACAATGCCATACCAGAACTCCCAGTACAGAGCTCCCAATATATTCTGTAAGAGTATAAGGTTTTAAACAAAACAAAACAAAAAGTTATATTTACTTTTTTTTACTGCAGATTTCCAAAAGTATATAAGTGATAAAGAAAGAAGATCACCCTAAAGCTCTACAATACAGTAAGATTACCAGGTGTTCCATAACTCCAGCATAAAAGGATTAATTAGGATTATTCTGTTTTGAATCACGTTTGAATTTTTTAGTTTTTCTAAACCCTAGGAAGAGTTAGTCACACACACACACAAAAAAAAACAGTAATAAGACCACAATTACTAGTAAGAGTTGTTGTCAGGTGCCATCGAGTCAGAACCGACTCACAGTGACCCCATGCACAGCAGAACAAAACAATGTCCGATCCTGGGCCAACCTCACTACCACACTTGAGTCCATCAATGATGCCACCTGGCCAATCCATCTCGTTAGGGGTCTTCCTCTCTTTCTCTGACCCTCCACCTTACCCAGCATGACATCCTTCTCCAGCAACTGTTTCCTCCGGACAATATGTCCAAAGTATGAGAGATGAAGCTTAGCCATCTTGGCCTCCAAGAAGCACTCTGGCTGCACTTCTTCCAAAAATAGTAAGAGAAACAAGCTAAAATAATTTATGGTCAAAAATTTTTTCTACACACCAAAAATGTGATATAAACTCCTAAAATCTTTGAGGAGACTTCAAAAACTTTGTGGGATAATTCCATTCTTTCAATTCCATGTTCCACAGATTTTAAAAAGCCCCCTCATATTTCCAGTGCACCTACTCAAAGCTGGTTTATTTGAAATGCATAGTCCCATCCAAAATTTATCTAATAGTATTTTTCTAGCTAATGTCTCCTTACTTACACTATTAGCATAAAAGCATTGATAAGATCTCAACTCTAAAAACTCAATGCAATGCCCCCAACCCCCTCACCATCTCCCAGCATTCGGTGGCACCGCATCCTGCGTGCCTCACCTCCCGGGCTGTGCCTGGGACTGGGCCTCTGTGCGCGCTTCCAGGCAGGAGCCATTCACCCAGCTTGTCTCCAGCCTTGCGTTTGCATCTGCACCCAGTGACTCTCGCCCCCAGGGCTTGCACCTCAGCCCTACCAGCAAGACCTGGGACCACCCACTGCCCGCTAGCATATGTCAGCCCAGATGCAACTGCCCACTATGAACCAGTGGAACATTGTTGTTGTTAAGTACCGTCGAGTCGGTTCCGATCCATAGCGACCCTGTACAGAGTTTCCGAGGGTGTAAATCCTTACGGGAGTAGAAAGCCTCATCTTTCTCCCGCGGAGCCGCTGGTAGTTTCGAACCGCTGACCTTAAGGTTCGCAGCCCAATTCGTAACCACTACGCTACCAATCATAAATCTGTGGATGGATATACCTAACCACACGTCAAGCCTACCAAGTCAAGTAGCAGAGAGAATATTCCCCAGTGTATGAACTCCATTACATCAACAGATGAACAGTCTCACACTGGACATAATCCTTTACAAAACACAATAGGAAAAGGAAAACTTGCCAAAGTGAAATTGGCAAGACATGTTCTAACTAACTGTTAGAGTGGCTGCTGTGAAAATCATACACAAAACTCAGCTCAATCCTTGTTGTTGTTATATGCCGTGGAGTCAGTTCCAACTCATAGCGACACTGTACAGGGTTTCTGAGGCTGTAAATCTTTACAGGAAAAGAAAGCCTCATCTTTCTCCCGCGGAACAGCTGGCAGTTTCGAACTGCTGCTCGATATGTAACCACTATGCTACCAGAGCTAAGGTGCCCTCCCTGGACAGATATCACCCATAGATGCTGCTTTTTGCTGACTGGAACTGTGATGAGGGCAGATTTTGGAGCCCTAATGCTGGGAACTTTAAAAATATTCCTATCGGTGGCTCACCTAAACGTTTCCTGATTTATGCTGTGAATTGAACAGAATGATTTCAGTGGCCCTTAGAACTACTGCCGGCCTACAGTGATGGCTGGCATACACAGGAAAGTGGATGTCACTCTGCTTTTCCCATAGGACCCTGAGAAACGGTAAAATCATATATGAATATGATATTGAATGTTGCTTCATTTAAATGAGTATCTAAAATATATAGTTGTTGATGAAACAGAATTCCTTAAATATTCTGATAATCTTGGCAATAAAATTAGTTTTCCAGTCATATGCAGAGTGATGGCAATTTTGTTTTCTGAAGTCTATGAAAATAAAAATTAAAGTTCATTTAAATAAATAAATAAGGGGGAAAAAGTCAATAGTTTTTTGTTTGTTTGTTTGTTTGTTTTAACTTCTCCAAGCTTACATCTTTCAGAAATTAAAATACTTACAGAAATTTTTTTTAACCATTCACAGCAATGTTTCCGAAATTCAGCATCACGTTTTTGGTCAAATGGAGGCCAGCAAAATCTTAAATTAACAAAAATAGGTACATTAAAGTTATATACAAAAAACAAACTCAGCAAAATGTGAAAATATCAAAGTTATCTCTTAACTATAAACATAAATGCTAAATGGATCAAGGCTAACATTCTTGGAATTCAGCCAAAGAAAGACACCAACCCAATGAGAAAACTAGGTAATTTTTCTTCTAAAGTATTTAGAGTAAATAAGTGAATAAGTATATCACATGAAGGAATAAACTGCTGTTAAAATTACTGAAAATCACATGAGTACTTAAAACTGTGACACTAATGAAAGGAAATGCAATCTAACAAAGTGCATTTCTGTATCAGAGCTGTGTCACACCATCCTTTGGGCCCTCTGCTAGAAAGCAGAATCAAGTCACAAATAATGCCTTTTTTATTCTCTAGTTTTTTAGATGTACGACTGTCCTGCATCACAACTCTGAATGTAAAATATCTTGTATCTGCTTTATGATATGTAATAGTGACTATGTTATATCAGAGCTGTTATAATGATATTATTCTAGGATGTTTTCTTTCCAGATAATGACTTGAGAAGCTAATGATAAAAAAAAAA